CATAGAAATGGATTGCCAAGGTTTTTCTGGAATAGGTAAGTTAAGTAGTAATCCAAAAGGTTTATTATGTTCTGGTTTAGACCTTTGACAGATAGGACATGTTTTGACATATAATGCAATGGTTCTATCTTGGCGAGGCCACCAATAATATCGTGAAGTTAGTTCAAGTGTTTTCTTTATTCCAGGATGTCCAGCTAGGGGGGAATCATGAACCATCTTAAGTAATTTATTCCTAAGAATGGGAGGAATATAAATTCTATTTTAAAATAAAATATACCATCCTTTTTTGTTAGTATAGGTGTTTTGGGAAGTTCAAGATCCTTCTGATTCAAATTCTTTATGTCATCATGAAGAGAAGAGAGGATCCCTATTATTTTGGTAGAAGGATAATCATCAGTAGTAGTTTTAGAAGGAATTCGAGAAAGAGCGTCAGCCTTTTTATTTCTATTTCCAGGTCTGTATATTAATTGGAAGTTAAATCGGTTAAAGAATAGGTTCCATCTAACTTGTCTAGCTGTAAGGGTTTTGTTAGTATAGAGATATTCAAGATTTTTATGGTCAGTATAAACTATTATAGGTTGTTTTGTATCTTCCAGAAGATGACGCCAATTTTCGAAGGCAGCTTTAATACTTAATAATTCTTTTTCACCAATAGGATAATTTTTTTCAGCAGAGCTCAAGGATCTTGAAAAAAAAGGCAACTGGATGAAGTGGATCTTGTGGAGTCTTTTGTTGAGAAAGAACTGCTCCGATGGCTGCATCTGATGCATCAACTTCAAGAACATATAGGAATGTTGGATTAGGTAGTTGTAGAATAGGTGCAGTTGTAAATCTTTTTTTAATTCGTCGAAGGCTGTTTGAGCATCTTTATTCCAATTAAAAGGACGTTTACTACTGTTGAGGAGGTTAAGAGGATGTGATACATCCGAATAGTTTCTAATAAATTTTCTATAGAAGTTTGCAAATCCAAGAAAACTTTGTAATTCTTTTGTAGTAGTAGGAGCAGGCCAATCAATAATACATTTGATTTTGGAATTATCCATCTTCAAAGAATGAGGTGAAATAATGTATCCTAGAAAAGAGAATTCAGTAACCTCAAAAAGGCATTTTTCTGGTTTAGCATATAATTTATGAGTTCTCAGTCTAGATAGAACCCATCTAACATGTTTCCTATGTTCATCCAAATTGTTAGAATATATTAAGATATCATCTAAGTAGATAATAACACATACATCCAGAAGATCTCTAAAGATATCATTGATAAAATGTTGAAACGTTGCAGGGGCATTACAGAGCCCGAAAGGCATCACTAGATATTCGTAGAGACCATATCTTGTCCGGAAGGCGGTTTTCCATTCATCATCCTGTTTTATTCTAATGAGGTTATATGCGCCTCAAAGGTCGAGTTTAGTGAATATAGTTGCAGTTCTTAACCTTTCAATTAATTCATTTATTAGTGGAAGAGGATAACGATTTTTAATAGTTATTTTATTTAAGGCTCTGTAATCTATAATAGGACGGATGGTTTGGTCTTTATTCTTCACAAAGAAAATACTAGAAGCAGCAGGAGAGGTCGAGGGTCTGATGAACCCTTTGCGTAAATTTTCATTAAGATATTCTTTTAAAATTTCTAACTCCTTTTCAGAGAGTGGATAAATATGACCATAAGGAATAGGAGCTCCGGGTATGAGATCTATTGGGCAATCATATACCCGATGAGGAGGAAGTGTTTCCGCTTCTTTTTACAAAAGACATCTGCAAAATCGGAGTAGAATGGAGGTATAACTGGTTCTACAGTAGTTTGGAGAATAGGAATGTGTTGTAAGCACGTTTTTTTACAGAAATCAGAAGCAAAGGAGATGGAGAAGGGAGACCACTTAATTAAAGGATCATGGTTTTTTAACCAATTAATTCCTAGAATGACGGGATGAAGTGGAGATTTAATAATATCAAATGTAATGAATTCGAAATGTACGTTGTTGGTAATCATTCTTAGAGGGATTGTTTCATCTTTGATGGGTCCTGAGGATATAAATGAACCGTCAATAACTCTGATTGGAATAAAGTTGGTTTTTTGAACACAAGGAATTTTATTTTTTGAAACAAAAGAAAAATCAAGAAAAGTTCCATTAGCACCAGAATCAATGATGGCCTCAGTCACGATTCTTTTTGTATCCCACTGTAATATGAGAGATATAGAAAAATAAGTAGATGCTTTTCTTTTTTGAAAAACGTTCAATATAGAGGTAGATGAATGAAGCTTACCACCTTTTGAATGTTTCAGTAGAGGACATTCGGAAATTAGATGTTCATTCGAAGCACAATACATACATAAGTTTAGTTGTCTCCTTCTTATTCTTTCTTCAGAAGTAAGAGGACTTTTTATTATACCTACTTCCATAGGTTCAGTTTGTGGAGGAATTTTTCAGGTAGTTTTAGAGTAGTGAAAGGTTTTCTCCAGGTAGAATTAGTAAGAACCCTTTCAGCTTTTCTTTCTCTTAGACGTCTATCAATACTGATAGACAGTTGAATCAATGCATTTAAGGTAGGAGGAAGTTCTGTACGAGAGAGTTCATCTTTCACAGCTTCAGATAATCCGAGACGGAATTGATTGCGTAAAGTAATGTCATTCCATTGGGTTTCTGTAGCCCATCTTTTGAATTCTGCAATATAATCTTCAACAGATCTATTCTTTTGGTGTAATGTTCTGATGGTTAAATCAGCAGTAGTTTGTTTAAAAGGATCTTCATATAATAAAGACATAGCTTCAAAGAACTCATCCAATGAATCCAATATGGGATCATCATTTTCCAAAAAGGAATGGGCCCATGCCATAGGTTCACCTCTTAAAAAAGAGATCACTGAACAGACTTTGGATCTTTCGGTGGGATAAGATCTAGGTTTTAAAGCAATTAGTAGTTTGCAAGAATTCAAAAACTCTCCGTACTTTGTTCTATCTCCATGAAATTTTTCTGGATTACAGACAGCAGGATCACCAGCCGATTGAAGAGCGGCATGAGGAAGATGACCTTGAATGTCTCTAACATAGGTTAATATTCTCTCATTTGTAATTTGCAGTTCCTGTAACCCTTGAGCAATCGTATCCACTCTATTGGTTAGGGCAGAAACTTGAGAGTTAATATCTGCTGGTTCCATTGAAGATGCTGGATTATTCTGTAATACTTATTTTGTAATATTTCTTTAATTGGAACTCAACTGCAGCATTTCTTGGTTGCAACAACAATAAGGTTCACCTCCTTATATATTGGTATGAAACTATGGTCACTGTACCTTTAAATATCCATGTAGGTAAAATTAGGCTTTGTAGCAATCTCTTATGAGTAAGAGGAATAA